TTGTTTATAAATATACTGCGAAGTCGTTGACAAATTAGTATTATAATTATAATACAAAGTGTTCAATATAAGACACGAAAAACAAAAACTGTGTAAGAAAATACATGTGGTGCAAGAACTTTGTTTGAAGATTCATTGTAATTTTTTTATCATTTATTTTTATCTTTTAAATAATGGATGTGAAACCATTGAACCAAGCGTTTTGCACGTTTCTACCAAACTCCTCCATCTATTTTGATATTATATTGCATTTTTAATTTTCATGAACTCGTCGGCAAGGGGTTCCCCTTGGCCGTTTTTTTGTTGAATTTCTAACCAAGACAGGTCGTTTAAAACTTTCGTCAGGTTATCGAATATGACAAGCCCACTCCAATCGTTCTGTTTTTAGGAACATTTTGGTATTTTTTATTTTTTGTACAACGTTTTGTGTTCAGTGTTTTTGATAGATATGAGTGTTTTTTTTTTTTTTTTGAAAAATGTAAGTAGTTTTAATATTCGTAATTTGTAATATTTCCGAATAATAATATTAACTAATTTAAAACAAACCTATACAATAGTTTAAAAAGAAATCGATAGCTCAGAGACGATTTAATAGTTGTAAAAACTTCATATTTTCCAAAAACATATTTACATATGTGTCGTTGAAACCCTTGAAGATAATGGTAAAACTTTTTTGGTGAAAATAACGATCAATACTTCTCGGGCGTGAAATACCGAAATCTAAAACTTTTTCTCCAAAGTAGGTATTATGTTCACTGTTAATAACAAAAACAATAACTCGGCATTGGTTACACTTGAAATTTACGGAAAATAAAACACTATTTATACGAACTGCATACAATACCAACGCGTATAATTAAAGAGTTTTAGCGAGATTAAACGTTCAGTATTTCGGTATATCAAGATAAAATTAATAAAGTTTACGAGGAAAAAAATCAAGAATATCATTTTTATCATTTGTATGCATTATAGGTACAATATGATATAAAATGTATAATATGTATAATATGATTAGCGAAATATTATAGTACCCGTTTACTATTAATTTGACAAAAGTAGTTAAAAATAATGGGATATATTGGCAAATATTGAATTATAGGTAAAATACAATTTTGTGTAAAAAATTGGGTAGGTAGGTTATATTAGGTTGCATTGGGTTATTTTAGGTTTGTTTCTACGCCACTGGTAAAAATATTATACCGTATCGGCGGCAAAACTGAATGGCAACATTTTGAAGACGATCCTAAGTCTCGGATTTATTTTTTTACATGTAGGTACCTATAATTACGTGTATAACAGGTATTATTGATTTGAAAACGGCTGAAATAAGAATAATTTATCGATGACGATGGCACGTCTCCATAATAAAAAAAAAAAAACGTTGGAAATTGTCGCTGAAGGTCAGGGCTATACCACATCACTGTGAACACAAAAAATGATAATATACCCACACTATTGTTTACTGGTATTTTATTGTTATAATATTATTCTGTTGTATATCGGTCGAGCACGGGTGTGGGAAATGGGAATGTATAATATTAAATATTATGTATAGTATATACGAGCAATATGCCTAGTTTTTATTCCAAGCAAAATAAATGACCGAAAATTAGTAGACAGCAAAAAAAAAAAATAATAATATATTGAATTTAAAATTAATAACGAATCGTCTAAAAATTAAATGCATATAATATAATATACAGACGATTGCATTATTTATATATTTAATATTCATATAACACGAGAAAAAAAAATACTTTTTCGCAAAATCTGACCAGCCGTTTTCGTTATCAGAGTGCTGATAATTTTTACTCACTGTACGTGTCACCCCTCGTTTACTGTCGAAAAAAACATTTAACATAATAGTGTCGCCCACTGTAATACATTGTGGTGCGGTCTCATCATCCCAGCAATGTTGCAGTATTCGCAAATTATAAAAATAAATATAGAACATTACGCATTTCACAAAATAGCTTCAATATTATTGAGACGATTTCTGCGCACTATTTGTTTTCCCACGCGCAACATATAGCAAATTTACGTTCAGTAAAAACAAACTTGTGTTGTCACTTTGTTTGCTTAAGTATCAGAGTCAACTGACCTATGGTTAGTAACCTATTAGTTAAGAACACTATCCGTGTGATAGACTGCGGACACATACGCAACAAACGAGAATAATGTTAAAGTCTCGGAAATTGGCAAAAATACGTATTCTTAAAATATCCGAATGTTATTATTTCGGAATCGGACGTATTATGATTTCCATACACTCACGGTTTAAAATACAGCGACGAGTTCAAAATACCTCCGTATATAAATATGATATTATTATTAACAAACGAAATATAAACAATTTAAAGAAACCTATACATTTAAACAATACAACAACACATCGGTTTTTTCAAATGAATTGGTTTTCTTTAATTTCTTCAATTCAAAGATATACACCTATTATTATTCAAATACATTTAGAAAGTACTTGAAAAGTGTATATAGACGATATAATACTAGAACGTATGGCATATTGAAGTAGTATGCTTTTAAATCAAGTAATTTAATTGTATAGTGTTTTAAATATACTTTTAAAAAGCAATATTGTTACGCATGACTGTTAAATACGTATAATAATGTATGGACTTCGTTAACATAATTATTATTACGTATTTCATAATAATATAATATTATACGCAGTATTCTCGGCACAAATATTAAAAACGTTTAGAAATAAAACGAAAACTCTTCATTTTTTTTTTTTTTTTTTTTGTAATTACGAAAGAGCTTTTCGTAGAATTTTAAACCTAAGTAGTTGTTACAAGGAAGAGTTGTTATTTTTTTATTTTCCTCGTAATTCGAGGAAGCAAAAACTGGAAGAAAAACCGGGAAAGTTTACGGAATAATAGTTAAATTATTTTCGATTTTGTGTTTTCGTTGTAATCGTAGATACTTGCTACTGTCACAAAATATTTAAAATCGCTTTATATAGACATGCATATCTAGAAAATCTTACTAAATTTAACACAATAATGATTATAGATTGTATTTAGCGGTTAAAAATAAAATTTGAGCAAAATTTAGAAGTTTTTTTTTTCTAAGAGTTTTAGATTAGAACATTGACGAAAATTGTAAAAACCACGGCATTTTTAAAACACGTTTAACAGAACTTCGCTCAGAATTGTTTTTCATGAACATTGATTTATAATTCTTTACAAGCGTAAAATAAATAACTCTGTGTATCCTTGTAATACAACTCCAATGTAATACATTCCTAACTTCTCGCCTACAACAGTGACACACCTGTCTGCAGATAAGCTCTTCTTTTCTTTTTTATTCTTGGATTTTTAAACACACTTTCATTTTGAGCTGCTTTATTGTGGATTTTAAGCGCTTTAACTGATTTTCGGATGGTTTCACTGTGTATTACAGGGGCTGACTGGCTCTGGTGGAAGGGTAGAGAAATCCGCCCTAGCCGGTAGAATTATTCACGATCATGGCCGGTATAACTCACCTAACAACTATCGTTGAACATTTATTTCAAAACTAATAATTGATATACTTGTGTTTTCATTTCATGCTTAGAAGTTAGTTAAACATTTGCTGAACATCAGTTTCTAACGTCCACAAAGACGTATAAAGTCAAATATTGATTATATTCTTGTGCGAGTATATACATCGATGTACATTATATTTTCTATACCTAGGTATTTCACAATACGAATTGCGTCTTAAATTGGGATTGAAATTCTGAACAATATAAGGAAGATAGCCACATAAATTAAAGAGCAAATTAATTATAATAAAATTAATAATTTAAATTAAATTAAAATATAATAGTTATAAAAAATTATTAAATTTAAAAAGTAATAAATTATGCATTTATTTCACCATAATAAATTGTTTATTAGTAAACTTACTATTCTATCGGGGCATGTACGATGTACATATATATTCGGTGGCAAATGTGAAAACGCACATAATAACCATTTATGGGAAAAATGTAAATCTAAAATTGTGAACTGGACAATGTACGATAATCATATAGTTTATAATTTAATTAGTGTAACTGAAATCAAGTTTAACGATTTATTATTTAGCCTCTCCGCCGTCTTTTAATTACGTCTATGGCTATGAGCAGATAATAATTAAATCGAAATATCTTAATTAACAAAATGCATTATTTCAACGCAATAAATACTTACTAGCGACCGATCTCCACTGAACGTTTTGGTGAGCGGTGAATAAATGTAATGTACGTAATATTGAAAACGATAAACGAATTGACCTTTTTATAAATCTGTAATCGCATTTTATTCGAGCTTACGACGGAGGATGACTAATATGAAAAGAGACAACGGGAAATCCAAAAATATTTTTGTACGCCCATCGGTGAAAAACGACCCGAAGAGCGATAAGAAACAATTGGAAACAAAAAAAAAACGCGACAGTAGAGTTTACGTGCCCGTGTCGTAGATATGGAATATTAATTATACATAATATTTTTTTTTTTGCGAATCGCCTATTGGCTCTACTCTTTTTACACTACAGTACTACCTATTATGTAACTTTTCAACAGCACCAAATTGTCCTCCGCGTCGCAGTCAGCGCTCAACAGCGTCTTAGAATATACCCTGCGAAGTACTCCCTGTCCGCCACTGGATGTACACGTATAATTATTATCAATGTCCTATGACTATTCTAATAATAACAATATTGTCATACCGCTTACCGCTATAACCACCGACAATATACCTATCATATTTTGCGTACAATAAAAATACATAGCGGTACGTACCGACGCGCGAATCTCGCGGTCCGCACGTTTCTGTGCGTCGAGGAAAACGGCCGTGACCCGACGACCGCGTCCTTCGCGGGGGCCGATCAAACTTTGGCGCGTTCGCATCATCGCGGTCCGGGTCACCGGCGCGTTAAGTTTTTCACCGGTATTAAAAAAAAAAAAAAATCGCAGAAGGAACGAAAATAAAACAAATCTCGTATACAATAACCGTATAATTAAACATTAGAATGTATATGCGTATTAATTTTTTTTTTTTTTTTTATCGCAGAAATTCAAAAAAATTGCATACAAATTATTATGTCGTTGTCGAATAGTATAATATTGGTATCGTCCGATACCCAGTAGCATTACATTTTCGGCGTGTTAACAGCTCAATTTGTTTCGGTAATCTGAAAAACGAAAAACGGAATTAGTCATAGTATAATATAATAAAAAATATTACATGTATAACTTATAAGTGCACAGTATTTAATTAATCGAAATGGTGACCAAGTACACGAACTAAGTTGTAGCCAGAGTCTATATATTTATATTAGGGACTAATGCGGAAAAAAAATTCGAAGAAAAGAATTGACCTGTATAATTTGGGAACAATCTGTAAATAAACGTTACGCTTAGTATCTTCTACTTATTTTGACACTAGTTATTAGTTGCGCCGAATCGGTTTTGAAATGTTCTGGTCAATGGTCATAGTAGGTCTAACCACTACCCATATATTTAGGTATCAGCAGAATAACCGTGCAGTCGTTTTGTTCAACGTATCCCTCTTCCCCTTAAACATTTGTTAATATTCATCAAAATGTCTGGCTATTGAAAATCATGAATTTACACTATTTTGTACTAAAAACTAAAAAATTACGACTAATACGAATATGTTAAATGTATTATTGTACGTTGTTATAATTCATTTGTTAAAAAACAAATTGTAAAATATTATTACTCTTGTATTCTCCAAATAATATGTATGAACCAGAGAAAAATTCTATCCATTTACCATCCTCCCCCCTACAACCACCCCAAAAATGTGGTCTGGTCTTGAACCACTTGTTCGCAGCCACTGCTAGTTATATATATATATTTTTGTATTAGAAATATTAATTATTTGATACAGAAAAAATGGAAACATGGAAAATAATGCCTTGGGCTTCTACATGTAAGGCTCCTACCAAGGGCACGTGCAGCGTCTGCACTTACGTTAATCTAGGCCTGATGGTGCTGCAGTATACTGTAGACCAATGGCGTAACTAGGATTTTTTCGAGATGAGTCCATTTGGTGAGTCTGGTGATCCACCCAATTCTTTATACATGAGCAATTTGTTTCAATGATCATTGAATTGAAATTTCCATAAATACGGTTCAAGAGGGGTATCTAGGTATTTCCCGTGGACCAATAATCGACATTGATTATAGTTATAAAGTTGGAATTAAATTTAAAAGTTACTTTTGTTAGTATATTACTTATTTAATCTTAATTGATTAGCTAAAATACTGGATATTTTCTAAAATATTAAATCTAATGTGTCGACATTTTTTTTCAATATATATATATATATATATATATACTTCAATTTTTAATTATTCAAATTTAATAATAATATTGATGAATTTCGTTATTAACGTAACATATTTATCTACACGAATCGCAGATGATAACTGATAATTTATAAGTGATAATATGATAATTAAAACCATAACCTTATACTCACCATTTACTACGGATGGAACTACGCGTGTTAACTAACTGTGTCCTATATAAACCCTCACTTATGTCATATTTTCGGGTGTGAAAGTTTTGAAGTATTTTCACACTTAACGAAAAATATTGGAGCAAGACGTACCTTTTTTTTTTTTCTACAGTTTTGTGAAACCGATAATACATTCCAGAATCTAAAATAGTATTTAGATAGTTATAACTATGACCACACACCTAGTATGCGTTTCTCTTGATCGGGATGCGCTTGTAGGGCGTCCGACAACAACTCCTTGGCCGCCTCCGTTCGGCACAGCCCGCACAACGCTTCCGCCTTGTACAGGACGGCGTTCAGCGACCTTTCGTTCACACGCAGCGCGCGATCGCAGTCGTCCAACACCTCGTCGAACAGTCCCAAGTTTATTTTGGCCAGCGCCCGGTTCGTGTACAGTACACAACTGTCTTTGCGCACCTCGATGGCCTTGAACCGGAAACAACGACAGAATAAAAACGATACGGTGTCCGTGAATAACAAACAATAGTACTACGATCGGCGCGGATTATTGATTTAAAACAATGTATGCCCTTGCCCCCTCCCTCTCGGACGGGTCACTACAAAAGCCGACTACCGACACCCCGAAACCCGATGCGGGGTAGAATTATTCGGGGGAGGTGGGGGCAAGTCGATTAATTGCCATTTAGTCGTACGAAAAAAAAAAATCCCCGAAATAATTGTATAGGTAATAATTATGTGTAAACACGTGTAACGTGCGAAAAGCTTAAGTAGTTTCGACTTGAAGGCTTTTTTCGAGTCGGCCGTCAAGATGGTTAATTTTCAATTTCAACACCGCGCGCCGACAAAAAACTTATCGGTCTGTCATCGCCGTCACGCTGTTATAATGTTTTAGGTACAAACAAAACTGACATATTTTAATAGGTTGCGTTAATTCTCAAATTTCAGTAAACTAAATATAATAATAATAAAATTAAAAAAATATAAAAATAAACGAAACCGGGGTTTATTCCCACCTCGGAGCACGGACGAAAAACGAAAAGAAAAGTGCGCCTGCAAATAGTAATTATTATCATCGCAAAAAAGAAAGTCGACGGATTTTAATTATTTTCGATTATTTTAATAGTTCCTATATAATTGCAATGGTTTTGCGTGACATATTTACTATTTTAACCGTTCAATTTTAAAAAAAAATGTATAATATTATAATATTACCTGTGAGCAGCTATCACTGGCAGAGGATGAGTAGTGGTATAGTGGGGGGGGGGCATGGGGGCTTCTGAATTTTTCAAAAAATACTTAATAATTGGCGAAACCGGTACATAATATATTTGGTCATTTTTTGATTATAATTTTATCTTATGTATATTTCCCGCTTGCCCTTTTTTTCGTCTAAGTATAAATTTTAACACATATTATTATTACGTAGAAAATATCTTATTATTATACTATCTTATTATCGTTAAAATATCTCAAGTCACTAGATGTACTTTTTGTTTGACAATATAGGCATAAGAAAGTCATATAGTTATAATATGACTTAGCCATTTAGAACGCCTGCGTTTAAGTTAGGTGTTTTAGCAATTTTATACCATTATAGGTATGTGTTTATGTCGTAAAGCAATTTTCAAAATTTTATCTAATTGTGTTGAACACTATATAAAATTGACTCGAGCCGCATTTCTTCTCCGGGACCAAAGATGTATTGACAGGATACCTATTGTAGATTTGTGTGCGTATATAAAATATTGATAACACATAATATCGTCAACTTTAATGAGATATTCACGGTGTAGACCACAGACCTGTACAATATATTAAATTACAAAAGACGGACATATATCGCACGTATGTGGGCCACTGTTACAGGTGAGAATTTGGGAAGGTAGGTAAGGTAGTAAAGGGGAATTGAATGCATATCTATAAGTAACGATTAATCATTGCTAACGAAAAACGATTCTGAGTGGAGTTCAGGCAATAGTGTTGCTTTGTCAACAATATATATGTCATATTAAAGTCAAATAATTACATAAACATTATATATTTTCTTTAATAATATTTGTTTAATATTGTACCTATTTTCCCGTTTTTCCTACGGATTTTCCTGGTTTATCCCATTTATTATGAGAACAGCTAAGAAAATTACCTCCTTAAATTATCACCCCAGTCAGATTTTCTTTCAGAAAAAGTGCAATAATTATTATAACAATTAAATATTACTATTTTTTTTCCGGTGCACAACTTGCCAACCAGCAATTTCGCTCCCACTTTTAATGATAGCCATGTTTCTATAAAAAAAAATGCCCCTCGCACGACACGCTTACGTCTGTGCTCAACCGATTTCGTCAAATAGGTATAATAATAGTTTTGCGGTAAATAATTTAATTCGTTCAAGAGCTGCGATACCTATTGTTATTTTATTAATTTTATACCAGTGTATCGTCGGACTCTCGTCGTCGGCCGTTGGAAACGTATACATTCGAATTAAAAATTAATTAATCGTCTTTTGCGCGTGCAGCGGGAACGGCACAAACCCGAGCTGCACAACGAGACAGACGTAATATTTTTAATATTCCACAATAATAACGTCGTTTTGAAATATTATCGTAAATTATTATATTTCCGTAATGTTAGAATAATATTTCATTGTTATTGTAGTTGCCTACCTACGCGTGCGGCCTGTTGTAACCGCGCGGGCGCAATACATTTGTTTATACCATTGACACACATTTTTTTACAGGTAATAAATATTTTAATGATAAAATATTAGTTAATTGGTATAATTACCTAAAATACGTTTATTCATTTTTTTTTATTATTTCTCCCCCTCACTCCTCCCCCCCGAGAAGTCGTTGAGCGAGAGTTGTTGCAACGCGTACGGCCAGCGCCGCACTGTGACCTTATATAAGTTATAATATAGTTAAGTACTACCTATACAAATAAAAAGTGTCAACGGCGTTTATGCACGCGACTACGTAATTAACTTTACTTTTCGTCTTATACACGATATTATTTTTGTAAATAATCGTCAATAATAACGACGATGACGACGATGACGCACTCTGTATAAATGTATAATACATAAATGTACATACGCGCATAATGTATAAATGTGTAATAACTGTTACGATAAGTGGCTTAGCCAGGGGGGATTTTGGGTGTTTAAACCTCCCCCATCCGTTGCTGAACATGTTTTAACCTAATAAATATATTCATATTATTGTATACTTCGTTAATTCTACTGTAAAAATGATGATATTTTTTGTCATACTATTATTAGATTAATACCTTCTAGATTCTAATAATTATTAAGCCGCGATCATACGTAAGTATTATTGGATGACGTGAAACGTCGTCCAAAATTATAAATATTACGTGTACGACGCGTTTACGTTTTTGTTTATGCGCTAACGGATTATTTTGCATTCACAGTTATTTAAAACTGGTACAATACCGTCAATACCATAGACTGCAACGATTTCCAAAGTGTGTTCCACGGAATATGTGAATATCAGGAAAATGTTTATATATTATACTTGGAAAAAATAATGAAAACAAAAAAAAATTTAAAAAAAAAATGTTTCAGGCGAATAGAATTATTAAAGAATCAATCAACTTCAAAATCAAAAATCAAATTCTATTAACATTTATATCATTTTTTTTATCAAATAATACATAAATTTACATACATATATCATACTAAAAACAATGTAAATATAAATATTAAATTAAAAACCATTTATGTGCATTTTATTCTACAATTGTTGGCATTTTAGTGCATTTTTTCGACATTTTAAACTCGTTTATTTAAGGTTTATTCAATTCACTGCCCTAGTTATTAGTAATGAGTAAATCCAATATTCGAAAACGGAAATTAATTGATTATTTCGATATGGCAAATTTCCCATTTACGAATCGCAGTTTTCATTTTAACATCCGAACAGTCTTTTACGTTTTAATCGTTTACGTAACGATAACGAGATCACTTTTTTCTGTTGCCGCGGAATCTCGCTTGAAAATTAAAATGTCGAGAAAAATACCAAGCATACAAACACGGATAATTGTTTTAGATCAAATGTTTACATGTTATAGATAAACTCGTTTTGATATTAAAGCTAATGGTGTACAATTTCAGGTTCTGCGCCGAACCAAAACGGAAACGACAAACATGTGTGTGGCGCCTTCTTAATTAATACAATATTTGATATTTCTTTTGGTATTATTCGTTTGAAAAAAAAAGAAAAAGGTGCATGCAAAAACACACATAATATAATATACTATATAGTATTCGTTTAAACGCATATTTATCAATAAAAGAACATTAATTATTTTATGCTGCGGTTTTTTTTTTTTATTTTTTTTTTTTATACCGATGAATTTTACAGAATTCATATTGAAATTGCGTGTTAATGTATTTCCTCCGAAATAATATTTAAAACTATTTTAAGTATTTATAAATATCGCATAAAAAAGAAGAAAAATAGTTAGAACATTGGCATTGGTATTTTCAATGCATAAAATGTTTATGTTTGTCTAAAGATAAAACCAAGAGCAAAAAAACTATACATATATTGCATACTGAAAGTGAGATAAAACTATAAAATTATTATACTCGTAAAATGCTACTCATAATAATATCCAAGTTTCACCGAAATACCCGAATGGGTAAAGTTTAATTTATACGTATTTATTCGTGATTTATAGTTTGATTTAGGCTACTCGGTTATTATTTTTTTTATAATACAGCGAAAAACCGCTCTTAACTATAAAAAAAATCGTTTGTGAAAAATATCATTTTTTGTTATACATATAAACAGTACTTAATTTTTTTTTTTTTTTTAATAATAAAACAAATGAATCGAACGTAAATGGGACAATTTAATTTTATTCCGGAACTTATTGATCCACCGGATCAAAATGTCACCTTACCAATATTGATTTATAATCGATAAACGTGCGATGGCATTAATACGCGCGTAAAACGCGATAATCTCATTTAGCTTTTGAATTTTCCGATTAAAATATCATTCATAAGTCTTGCATACAATAACAACAACAACAGCAACAGTAATTATTATTTATGATTTATTTTCGTCGTATTATCGATAACAAGTAGAAGTTTACTATTTTATTTTTTATTTTTACTACATCGTAGTTCTTACCGGTTTTTGTTTATGTATATATTTTAGTGCATACCACGCATAGTTATACAACGCATTTATAAACATTACACACGTGCAATTTTTATTGAAGAAAACATGTGAGTTTACACAGTTTATTGAACTCGTTCACGATTATGGAATCACTGGGTACTAATTTTTTTTTCCTTATGAAATGCGTAAAATTCAAATAGACGACGAAAATATGATAACAATATTATTATGCTTACAAACATATCCCCCGCGAATTCGGCGACAAGACAGTTCCCCTAAGAAAATTCATAAGAAGTAAATGTATGCGTTATATCATGACGTATACAGGGTTGGTATCGTTCATCACGATCCAACTCTGATAATTTTAAATAAATTCGATTTCTGTTTTGTTTTGTTTTTTTTTTTAATAAATTATCTCTATATCTTATGTCAATGGTTCTCGACCTTTATTGATTCATGTCACACTTATCCACAATAATCCAACATTGAATCGCCTTACCAATGCATAATCCATTTAAATTAAAAATTCTAGCAGCGGTATCGTTGAAAAGTAAATGATGGAGAGGGAATATTATGATGTTTGGACGTTAGTGGATAGATAACGGTGACGGCAATAATACGATATTATCCCAAAAAAATCTCTTTTCTTTTTTCTTTTTCCTGATGATTTCGTGTCACTTCTACTCTGAGCCCACGTCATCGCAAGCCCCAGGGTGATATATCACCCCGGTTGAGAATCACTGCCTTATACGTTTGGTATTTAAACGGGAACCGCTCTTTTTAAAGTACGTTGGAACAATTTATATTTTTCTCAAGATTTCAACACACATAACGTACGGTTATACCGTTGATGAGACTATAATAACAGTTTAAAGAGTAGACCGGAAGAGTAATACATTTCATATTATCCATTATTTTAGACGAGAACCTTTTTAACTACTCTGTCGGTTTAGTGTACGGAAAGTTAACATTTCAAACAAATACCTATCGTTAATAAGATTATTTAAAAATTGTGTATGACAAAAAAAAAAAAAAAACCGAATTTCCGTGAACAATCGTTGGATCGTGATCAGGAAAAAAATCACTCCGTATTTACGTTGAACTATGATAAGGCAATGTTGCCATCTCGAAATCATCCTGTATATAGCGCGGAGAATGCGAACAATTATAGTTCGGCAACGGAAGGTAAATTAGATCTACGAGTAATGTGGCGGTGAAAATACCTCGATGGAAAGACGCGTATACTAGTAGACCACGTTTGGGATTTATAAATAAATACTTAATGATTCGTTGGCGTTCTTTAAAATATTAAACAGACCAATCAATATAATAATATCCATTTGAATAAATCGGAAATTCGTGTAAAATGTAAATTTTAAAGTACATCCGAAACGAAATTATATTATGATTTTTTAAATTTGAAATGTTGAAAAATAATAATTCGCACCATTATCACAACAGTGTTGCAATTCGAAAAATCATTAAACAACTTTTTTTACGTTTTCAGAAGGGCGAAAAATCTTGGGCAAAAGGGCCCAAACGACATTTTTGTCCCTACATATTTTATACTATTTGAAGGGCGTTGAGGCCCTTAAAGTGTTGCCAAGGACAGATGAAGTTTAAAGGTAACGCATTACGAAATATCGTTTGTTTATGTAAATAACCGACTGTTCGTTCAACGAATTTAATTTCTCGTCATTTTATATTGTGCCAACAAGTCCATACGGTTAATTGTTATATTGTTTAGATAATTGTAAACAAAATGTTCAAAATAAAACTGATGTAAAAATGCCTCCTCAGCATCCCATTAATCGCTACACTGAAGATAAAACAACAAGAATTTTAGCTGACTTCGTAAAATTTTGGATTTCTATGGATTAAAAATACATTTGTGCATTTAAAATATAAAATGAAAAAAAAAACACTTATCACCTGATCAAATTAATTTGTTTGTTTTAGTTTACAGTGGTATAGTGTACAGTGAACTATGAAGCACCGATTGTTTAAATTCAGTTTAATAAAATTGTATTATTTCGAAATACTATTACACTATTGGCTATTGTATTTACAGCAATCTAACAGTTTCTCGTTTAATTTTGTGGATTTAAGAAATGTTAAAGTATTTTTTAGATTTATTATTGTGACATACGACTGTTCACGGTGAACTAACAAATAATATTATTATAACGGAGCTGCATCAAAGGTCTCCGCTAGTCAATCAGTCCAATATATAGATGTTTGTTATAAATTTAAATATCTACGACCTTTGCGGATTACGATTCCGCTATCTACGCGTGTATTAATATATTCATATAATATTGAACGACTTACTGTTATTGTACTCTCTATATTTTTTTGCGTGTTATTTTTTTTATGATTTATATGCGCTGACGTAATTTATTATTCCGACGTAACCGCAAAAATCGACTTTCCCGTTCAAATTTAACTAGAGAAATATTATACCCGTTCGGTAAAACTATCAGGGAGTAAAAATTCACTAGAAAAATGTTATCGGGGGTAAATATTTATTAGTGAAATTTGTCTGGTGAAGGGAGGGTAGTAAAATGTCACTGAAACATTCGACCAAAAGGTAAAATTTGTGACTTATGATTATTGACCCACTAATATTTTACCAAGGCGGTACAACTTCACTAATGCAAATTGCACACCTCCCCCTCTGGGTTAAATATCATGAAGTCAGTAATTATTGGCACGCCTGGTACTGCAGTTTTTAGTGTTCTTCTTATATGTAATATTATACGCGTTTAATATCGAAAGTCAACAAATTCGTATGTAATTATTTATACTTTTACGATCGTTTTTGGCAATGAAAACGTTTTAATGTCAAAGTGTCATAATCTCATCCGAAATTAAATTCGGATTTACGAGCTTACTAAAATGTCGAATGCCTATAGATTTGTATACAAGACATTAACAATATTACATCTATCGATTTCATTTGACAAACATTAGTACTTAAGTGATTATAAGCTATTTTAATTAATGTTTGAATAATATTATTGTGGTCGATATTGTACAATCTATCGGAGATGAACAAATATAACAAATATACAATGTTATTAGATAATGTTATTATAGTAATCAATTATAATACCATTCGACAAATATAGTTATCGAACGCGGTTTCAAATATACGATTACCGATTAAGATTTATTAACAATTAGTTTAGCTAATAGTTAATTAATTAATTATTAATTAACAATTCATACTTGGTAATAGAGGCATATGTATAGGAGGTTGTGAGATTTATGAAATTGCTAAATCCGTTTAAGTATTTTTAAAATATTACAAAAACAATATATTTTTAGTAAAGGTATAATAATAGTATACAGAAATATAACAATACATGCCAGTAGGAGATTAAAAGCAATTTTAAAATCACCGGTAGCGGGCGTAGACAAGAAAAAAAAAATGTCAGCGATTTCATTTTCGAATAATTATGTAGGACTTGTGCAAAGAAAACAGTTATTGCCTAACTAATGAGGAATTCGTCCCGGAAACGATAATTTGCGTCGGCACGTTAGTGGTTTTTGATTATTTTTCGGTAAAAAAAAAAAAAAAAAATAGAAATTAGCAATGAAACAAGTTTTATGGAGACCCGTGCTATTAAATAATTTAATTGACGTATTATAATATTCAGACTTGGATATATTTCCATAGCGCTATCCGCGAAAAGTTATTTAAATCTTCATAACAATATCAAGAATACAAATAATTATGTTTACCGAGATTTTATACACCGTTTATTTAAATTTTACTTGTTTTTTTTTTTTTTTGTATATCTATCCGTGCACCTATTTAACGATTGTATAATATGATTTTCTATTTCACGACGCACCCGTCACACTTATATTGTGTAGCTAATGCGAATTTATCGCAATTGGTAAAGTAATAGAAAAAAAAAAAATTTATATATATATATATATATATGATACTAAAGTATGAAATATCGTATCATCACACGTGTTGAATTTAAGAATAATAATCGTTACTGAACCGTGAACGGATTAATAATAATACAACATATGGCGTTCGGCGATACTTGCGCGGTGTCGATGGTGAAGATTGGTAGCCTTCTTTTCGAGTTATACTGCACATTTTCTTAAGTACATAACAACATAATATACAACATTCTAAACACGACTTTCTAAAACGCGTACCCGAATCGAACTCGTATCTCCCTGCTCCCACGATTTTTTCATTGTAAGCACGCCCGGTGGAAATAATAATAATAATTTTCTATTGCAGCCGTATGAACGCTGAATGTCCTCATATACCTATAACGGCGCTATTGTCTTATCGTTTTAATTTTGAACGTGAAATTATAGTGTGATAAGTAGTAGTTTCTAGAGACTGTTGTTAACTAACAGAATATGATTGGGTATATTGGTCTTTTATTATTAGATAGATCATTTATTATCGGCTTAAAGAAAAATATAATATAATATCCGACTTCAATGGAGTTTAGTAAGTTTTTTTTTTTTAACTTTCTGGGAAAGTTATTGATTACTAACAACTTAGTTCAGTTAAACTTGAAAAAAGTTAACTAACACCTTCATTTTTTTTTCAAATTAACGTATTATAAGTTGATTGTTTTATTTATTAAGAAAATGTCAATGTTTTTTTTTTTTTTTTTTTATGAAAATGATTAAATATAGATTTTAATATGTTTTCAAAATAAGAATTATTAGTGCTAAGCATCTCAAATGGAGTAAAATTTTTGTCCTCCTCTAAATCAAAAATCGGAACAAGACAAATAATTTTAAATTAAAGGGTTATTAGTTACACGCGATAGTATAAATATAATGCTGTGTTAAAACTTAAAATTAAAATACATTCGAATTATTTAACGTGATATGATTCAAAAGTATCTCGTCATGTATTAAGTTAATGTTAAGTCGAATTAAAAGTTAAACGCTAAATGTTAAAATCAACTTAACTTTTAACTTTTTAAATCTGTTCAGCCTTGCTTTCTATGAATCGGTTATTTGTCGTTCCGATGATTTTAAGCGAGCATTACGCGTTTCCTCGCGTTTCAAGCTACACTACACTGCACGTTATAATAACACGGCATCTTGGCTGTGCGCCTGGATTTAGTTTTTACACATATTTTTCTAAAATTTACTTTGTGTGTGTGTGTATATATAATTATTATAAAAATAGACGTGTATCACTGCGGTTTTTAGCGTAATATTACCCTAATAAATTATTTAATCTAATAATAATACAAGTGTGTAGTATAGGTATACAATGTACATAACAATATTGTAATATAGCGAGCGCGGCTGTTGATTAGTTTAATATACTGCAGTATACGTTTCCGGTCGGGGCGATTCCAGCGATTACTGAATGTAAAAAATAACTCCACGCCAATCGATTTTTCAAAAACAGTCAATTTCCAAAAGTCGTCAAAAGGTTTTTGGTAGTAGTTGGTTAGGCCATATTTTAAGATGTAAATAAAACGATCACTAAGAGCCGTTTTCAAATGGAAACCTCGAGGTTAACGACCATTTGGCCGACCCAGGAAGAGATGGAGTTGTAGAGGATCCGGTGGCATTGGACATGGGCGATTGGAATGAAATTGAAATTGGTAATCATAATTTGACACTGTGAAAACCATAGGCGTTGCCAAAATTTTAAGGCGGCAAATTAAACTGTGTAAAAAGGGACTTTTAAGTTATCCACACTCCTCCCATAAAGGGAAAAACAGACTAGTTTTGCAATAATAAATACTATATTATGTAAAGTATTGAAATAGTAAAATTATATCTAATAATTAAGTAATATCAATACAATAGCAAATGTATACATACGTAGCACGAGTATGTACCTAACACAATTTCAATTTTGAATTAATCTATTATAACATCATAGTTAATTTGTGATGCTAATTAATAGTTCTTGTTCAATAAGCTTGAACTATTTTATATCATATCAGTACGAAGTTTTGACTTTAGAATAAAAATCATAGAAAAATGTTAATCTATGGCCAACAAGTGAAAACGTTTTATTTGATAAAATAAAAAAAAAATAAGCCGTTATTGTAGGTTAGGTTAGGAAGATAGGATACAAAGAGTAATTTAATTGATGTATTTTATGCAAGCATAAATCATTGCAAACGCAAAAAAAATTCTAAGCGGAGTAGTATTAGTCGTGTTATTTCTCCATGTAGCTAATAATAAGATGCCTAACCCAGAAATCAGCAAAAATCAAACAACAATAAAAGAACCTAGGGGAGAACTTCCGAAAACTTCGATAAATGTTTCAAATAAATTACTAGCACCACTGAATAAAATCTTAGCATTGTTGAGAAAAAAAAACCCATTAAAAATGTTAAGAAAAATGATTGGAAATGTCGAAAAAATGATCAAATAAAGTATCTCTAGACGAAAAATCCGTATCGTTTTCAGTATGGCATTAAAAAATCTGAATGTTTTTACTAGAGAGCAGGTTCGCCTAGGGAAAAAGAAGAAGAAATATACGTTTTCGGGCGAAGCGATTCGGACGATTGCCGACAAAAAATGAAAAAAAAAAATAAAGAAAAAAAAAATAGAAACATTTATTTGTTCGTCTATTATATTATACTGCACGTCTTATTGATAGCGAGCTATCGTATCGCAACTTGTTAACTAAATTGTAGAGCGATGAGGCGGCGGCGTATATCAGTAACTTTCTTCGCTCCAAGTACTTCGCGATGTATTAAATTATATTTAATTGGATCGAAAATAAGCGTTCGACTTCTTACACAGTAAAACCGTATATGCATGTAGAAATTGTGTTACATAAGTTGTACGCGTGTTTCTTATTATGAGCTGACGTTCGGGCAGTAACCGGGTATAAATTATAAGTCCGTTTCGTGTATATAAATAGGTGTATTATTTTTCGTTGCGAGAAAACGCATAGGTACTAATAATACCACCTACTGCAGTACTGCAGACACTGCGATTTATTTAAAAACCAGTAACGCGTGTAGGTCTCGTATATAATGTATGATCTACGCGCATTGTGATAAGATGCGAGATCTGTGGGGTTTTTTTTTTATTTCGAAGAAAGAAAGGAACTTTTTCAGAAAAAAGAAAAAAAAAACCGAATCCACGTTTGGGCCAGAAATATATCTTTATAACAATAGCAGCTGAAAACCAGACAGTGTTAATCTATAAAAAAAAATATATATAAATATAGTCATAATATTCGGGAGGTTAAAACACGAAGGATTTCAATAGAATTGTATTTAGTGGCGGGAGGGGAATGAAAAAAAGGTGAAGAAACCTTTAATATAATATATTATAGACGACTCGCGAATATGATTTTTGATCCATTTTCTGACGTCATACAAACGATATTTGTATACTATTCATTCTTTTATTCGTATTTATACCCGTTCCTCCGTTTCATTATGAATATATAGCTGGTACCATACGACGACGGTTTCTAAAAATTCATTATATACTATATAGGTACCTTTGTTGTAAGATGACGTATCTTCTTTTGGCACATAACATGTTATAATACTATATAATATTATTATTATTTAAATTTTTATTTCAAGAAAATAAACGAGTTTTTTTTTTTTACGAAATAACAATTTTTACTATAATATTCGTCGGATGCGTAATTTTACCATATTTGTTTGATATCGGTGCGAATGGTTGTATTTATTATAACATATTATCGCACTGTACTCGAATAATTACCAAAACAAATGCTTGGAAGACTTAAAAACTAAAAAAAGAAAATACAATTTCACAGTTACCAGAAAAAAAATAATTTTCGGCTTAATTTTTAAAAACCCATAATCGAACGATTTCGCTTTAGGAACGTTAAAAATGTAGATTTACTTGTAAACCTACTGACTTTAGTTTCCTTTTCAATTTCAATTTAATCATGTTTATTACATCTGATTTATAGGCACGATACAATTTGTAAATAAAATATCCAATAAGCGTTTTTATGGGTGTTGTCTGTAAAAGCTTTTGTTGTAGGATATACTCAGTGTTGAATCCACGTATATGACAGGAGGGCGATAGCACCCCCTGGAATTTCGTTCGTCCCCGTGTTAAATGTGGATAAATTAATTATAAAATAAAACAAATTTGATTAAGAGGGTAGATAAGCAAAAGATCATTACTATAATAGTTAGTGCCCTCCCCCCACTCACAGAAAAATTGTCAGGATTCAAGAATTCAACACTGGATATACCAGCACCTGCACTCTGTAGATTTAATCACGAAAAAACCCTCCACTAATAATCAAAAAAATATTTCCAAAAATGTACAAACCTTTTTTGAATTATAAAATTTTAGAAAAACGGCCTACAATCTAAATAAAAATAACTTATTATATTACAAAAAAAAAAGGTACATAAAAATATTAAAAAAAAAAATGCATTTATAGCTAGAAATGTAAAATAAAATGTATAATATTTTGAATCTATGCGAAACGAAATTTTAGATAAGGTAGCTGTTGTATGTAGTATAGGATAAAAGAAAAAAAAAAAAATGGAAAAATCATCGACGTCCTATCTGTTATGACGATAATATTACACGCGCGTCTTGGTTTCTATTTCGCGACGAGTCCGTGATAATATTAAGGAAGGCAGACGTGAATTCGACCGCGTTGTTTTTAAAAAAAAAAAAAAAAACATTTATTTTCAGATCTGTCTATTGTTGATCGGAAACATTTAAATATAGTAATCGATTTTAATTGCGTACACAACCAACGGTAATATATTATTATTATGATCGACGATGATTATATCAGGAGGTCACTTTGAACGTTGAAATATTGTAATGCGATGTAAGGTTTATAGGTACCCGGCTATTATATCGTATTTTCTAATCAAACGTTATAATATTGTAATATTGTATGAATGTAATGCGTGTATTTCTCGAGTAAAATAATTATTCGATGTAGCTGATAGGTACCTAGTACGGCTACTGTAAAACGGAAACCTTCAAATGTAACGCACGGAAAAAATTGCACGTACCTTATATTATATTATAGTGCAAGTATTGACGATTCCGCGATGCGAAAAACAACAATCCTCCTTGACTTTTTTGTAATTTTTGTATTTCATTTACCCCTCCTCCCCAAATATTTACCTGTTATTTTACTATATTAATTGCTAAATTTGCAACGCTGATTAATTTATTTATTTTTTTCTTAAACACGGCCGACGGGCGGAAAAGAGACTAAAACCCTCTTGTGTATACCACTCCGTCGTTAAAACGCGATATACACGTTGTTTGGCGGTCAAAGTCAGTAAAACTCCGGACTGTTATTATCGAAAATTGAGGGGCGTTATCAAAAGCTGACCAAAATTTCAGAAAACCCATTATAGAGATAAGAATTCCAAAATTCTGTTGTACCTTCACCCGCACTTGTTCATAAAAATGTAATGGTTTAAAAATCAACTGCACCCCTCCTAATCTCAAATATTATCCTACAAACATGGCTGTTCAGTAAAATAAAAGAAAAACACTGCCCGATTACGTATAATGCAATAGGTATAGAAGAGTTTTTTTTTTTTTAATAAAATTAATTTTGAGTTTCTAAAATTGCATTAAAAATGTCTCGGTGACTAAAACGTCCCCCCGGACTTTGAACATTTATACTAAAAGCGATAATTTTATTTTAAATAAGAAGAGGAACTCCGTCTACTTATTTTTTAATCACTGATATTTATTAATATTTAGAAAGTGTTATTTTCGGACCGAAAATCTCGTCGGACCGCTGAGACGCGGAAGTAAAGATTTTTTTTTTTTTTGTCAAATATAATTCTATACGCCCGAAAAGAATCGCGACAAAAAAAAACATTATTCTAAAAAAACTTTGGACACTTTTTCTCATATATTATCACAGTATATACAACGGCTTCCCGTTTCTGGGTCATAATACCATACCATAATATTTTTATCACGAATACATAATACACGTACCTAATGTCTAAACTGAATGTCGAAATTCAATATACAAAATATTATTATTATACATATTTAAACGCAACACGAAAAGCAAAGTATTTAAGTGGTATATAGAAATTGGTCGCGAATATTGCAAAAAAAAAAAAGACGAATAAAAAACCGTAGTTTCACTTAAAAAGAAAACAGGAAATAATAATCCGCTTACTTGATTATAATATATAAGTGCTTTTTCGAAGTGGCCTTTGCGGTATTCGCTGTTGCCCATTATTTTGAAATAATCTGAACGTTTTATTTCTTGTTTTTTCTTCTCGGACCGCTCTTTGGCGTCCTTCTCAACGTACGCCATGAACCCGGCTGAAAACATACGGATAATAATGTAAAAGCTAATATTGAGAATGGATGCCGCCATTGTTGTAAGTGGGGAATCGGGTAGGTAGGATACATAATTTTATTCAATTTATATTTGTACAAAATTATAAACCAATTAGAAAAAAAAAAAAAAAAAAACAATGATTAAGCTTAAATTTATTTTTATAACCACCAAGTAAAACATATAATTTACCTTGTGTTATTTCCAAGCATTTATATTAAACCATACAATTATAATAACGAATATATCAAATAATAAATAGTCCAAAAATTGATAACATGTTTTGAAAATTTGACCATATTTACAAATTTCTAATGTTTGTATTTTTTAATAACAACAAATAACCCAAATGCCGTAAACTTTGTCATATTTCCTACGTTTTTTTCCGGTTTGGTGTAATAATTAGAAAAACTATACGGAAAATCAAGCAACGGCTATTTATTCATAAACTAGATACAATTTTCTTCATAAAATTTGCTATTCTTGGAATTCGGACGAAAATTTCCGTTATGAAATTATCATATTAAATATTTTTAATTATTTATTTATTTTATTATTTAAATATGTAAACACCGTAAATAACGTCCCCGTAAATAATGAAATGATTGCGCGGTAATTTGAAAAATAGTATTTTTTGTCTTTTGTGGTTCTCCCTAACTATCATAAAAACTGTGGTTATATATTAAATGAAACAAAATCGATCTCTTGTTATTTTTTGATTGGACCAATATTTCTGGTAGAAAACAGTTTGTACAAATTAAAAACAATGACATTTGTAACGCCATGACGTAAATATATATTTGCCGTTTTACCTATAATTTTATTTCCGGTTTTTCGCAACTATTTCATCTTGTAAAATCAAAAAATGGCTTTCCCAATGCACAAACTAGACAAAAAAATGTACTACACTTTACATAGAGGAGTCATATTTCCGTTAGAAAAATTATTTACAAATACAAAAAAAAAAAAACAAAAAAAAAAAAAAAAAAAAAAAAAAAAAAAGTACACGTCGTAGTAAAACCAATAGATCCCCCGCTACGTTCAGAATCTAAAAATGTTATAAAGATAGGCTGTATAACTATTGAATTTATATCTGTACGTAACGTTGAGTTCTAACTCGAGTCGCTAACAAAATACAATGCTGAGCGGAATTCTGTTGTACATGTTTTGAAATGCGTAATTTTTACGATTTTCGTCAAAATTCGGTGTTGACATTTTTAATTTCCATCAACCCGTTGGCGAAATATTCTACTTTCGAACTCGCCCCTTGTAATAGGTACGGGGAGGGCAACGGTATAGTGTTTAAACGCCGCTCGCCGTGCCGCCGCACAATCACGATGTTCCACTACACTCCGCCGTTAATCACAAAACGGCGGCAAACCTCGAATTGTTTTTAAAAAAAAAAAAAAAAAAAAAAAAACAATTCTAAAACAAATTCATGTACTTTCCGGAATAACGAACGATGTTGATCACCCTGTACTCCACCGCGGCTGTCTGTTCCACGCACGCGTGCACCGAGCGGTAAGTCTTGACTCGGCTACATTGTTATTCGTCGAGATGTTCAGGTAACTGTCCGGAACTTAGTTATTTAAAATTTCAATTATTTCGCCGTTCCCGGCAACCACGGCGATGTTGTAATGTTATTATGTTGCGTGAACGCCGTCGCTACGCGGGCACGCGGTTATATACGAACGCGGCTGTGACGCGAGTATAATATTATGCTGGTGGCGACGGATTATGATTACCGACCGCGCCCGGGATATTATAGATACGCGATATAAACACTATAGTGTTATGCTGATGATTAGCGACGGCGGTAATAATATTACGATTGCAGTTACAGTGTCACACGGACACACCGCGAAATTAATTTAAAACTAAATGCGCGCACTAAAAATATTTTGATATGGGGTACCTACATTGGTGAAAAAATCCGTAACGTACAAATCCGGGTTTCAACGGAAAACACCGAAATCTGCCCTGTAAATCTGCACTGAAACGTACAATTAATCTGAAAAGTAAAATTTTCAACGAAATCATAATATTATCGATTTTATCGACAGTTTTGTACGTCGGAAAGCTATAATATCCAAACATTGTTCTTTCCAAATTTGTACGGTTCAGATTTCGATATTCTTAAAAATCTCGGATTCCAGATTTGCACATTCCCGCAGGTTTTTACGCGCTATCATCGTTGTCCCTTGCGGTTTTGTACGTGCACATCGTTGAACGAAACAAAAATATAAAAACGCATCTCCCCGTGACTCTTAGTTTCCATCCACGTGGACAGTTTTTTTAATAAGGGTACTTTCAAGTATGCGTAAAATCTAAATCTACTAATAGTGGATAGTTGTTGTGTGTAACCCATAATCAATAAAAACAATCCAATTTTGGTAAAAAAAAAAAAAAAAAAACCATAAATCCTGTATGAACTACAAAGTAAAAGTCTGTGTGAGCCCTTTGGCGATTATGTCACGGAAATCTGCCTTCGATCTGTATACACACGGATCTATTCGTTCGTTTCTGTACGAACCTTTATTTCAGACTTCCGCGTGTTGTAGAACGGGGGCGGGAAATCTATAGAGAATATATGTGTGTTTCCTTTGAAGATCGATTTTCTTAACAAATATGTATAGCTATTAATTACGCAAAATGATATTAAGAACAAACGTACGTGCACAAATAATAATAGGTACTAAAATGTATAGTAGTTGAATAATGTTTTTCGTCACATTTTTATTAAGACCAACAAAATAGTATAAATCAAAAATATACCAGAAATAAAATCGCCAGTATGTTAACACTGTTGTACTGTATCACTTGACAATCTGAATGTGCAAAATAATAATTAATTAACATAAAAATTATCGAGAATTGTGTAAAAAAATATTTCAACAAGGGGAGATTGCAGGCGTTGAAATCGTCCGGTCGATCGATCGCTCGGTCGGCCTTGCAACGGAGTATAAATTCGGTTGACAATTTCGCGCAGTCAAAAAACAAACACTTCCTTTTGTGTAATATAGAAAATTGTTACTAAAGCTCACAGAAATATTAAACCAATTGAGTATGTATGCAGTTATGTTGGATTTTTTTTTTTTTTTTAAGCAACGCTGTATGAACGAACGAAATAAAAAATTAACGACCACATAATTTGCTACACCGCGCCGGCTTAACCGCCCCATAGGCCGATGATCGGCGTAAAACTGCCGGTTTTTTAACTGTCGTTCGCGTGTAGACAAAAAAAATTATATATATGTCATACGCCTGTAAAACTATACGATATATAGTACGCTTTGTTCAGAATTTACAAAAAAAAAAAAAAAACGATCGGGTTAATATTATTTTACCGCGCGCGATTCAAAAATACTGCACACTTGTTATTGACTAACTGTTGTTACAATCGGATATTTGCTGAAAACGGCGTTGACCACGTTTGGATGATAATATTACGATTGCACCGTGCACGAACAACAATACAAAGCACACGGAAAAACGAACGAAACGAGCGTATTCCGTCTGTCGACGATATAAAACACAATGCTCGTTATTACATATTATATTCCCGAGAATAATAATACAATGTCCACTGCACATCCGCCGTGCCCCGCGGCGTTTCTCGTGGCGCGACCTTTGTGTCTGCGCGACCCGAAGTTTTTCCGGCGTTCAAAGCTCCGAACCGGTAAGCGGCTTTTCTTCCCGTCCCGCGGCCCCGTTCGGTTTTCCAATCGCCACTAGGTACACACGTTATGCGTATATGCCATTGCACTCGTATTGTATAATATCCTTTCGGCGAACTATTTTATACGCACACATGTACAACACATATTTTGGTATGAATCTATTATACATTCGATTCGCCCACTGTTGTCTGACGTTATTGGATTTTCTCGTAGGCCACCCGCGATTTCCTCGTTCATCAATGTAATTAATTAAAATTTGCAAATTAAAACGCGCAGCTATACTTCCCCACGGATGTTATCTCTTTTGTTCGATACCCTCCAACGTTCAGACTCATACGGGTACCCCGGAACCAATCCCGACAGGGTCTAAATCACGGTAAAAATGACATTTTTTTTTTTTTTTCAAAATACACGTTTTAAATTTTCGTATCTACCTTTATATAAAAACACACTTACATGTATAACGACTTTACTATTTAAAAAGGCACAACTAGCCAGCACTTTACTCCGTTTTAACAAACGAATTCGACGTGTAATGATCAGCTAAGGTCGAGATTTTGGCACTGTCGGGATTTTACCCGCAAACTCATATAGTATCGTCTCTTATCTTTTCTCGTAACTCGAAAATTGACAAAATGAAATTACTGTCGATATCGATAAAACGAGTGTTTTCTTTTGTTAGACTCGAGGTCACACTGTAAATCACAAAAATGATAAAACCACTAGTATTAAAACCTTGTTGATACAAGGTTTCATACGTTATGTTGTTACGTAACTTATCTCAGCCATTAACATGCATGACAATAATAGTTGCGTTATGAAGAAAATATATATATGTAAAAAACATTACTATTGCAAAATACGTTAATTATAATATGTTAACAGTATTTAAATCGTTTGAAATAATATAAGCTTCGATCGTCCTGTAAAACTGCATCGTTGGTCTCACTATACGCCTGGTTTTAAAAAAATTTACGAGTTAAAATATCTTCCTTAAAATCTCGAATTCATTGGTTTAAAAAAAAAAAAAAAATATTTTTTTTTTTACCTCATTTCATTTCGTACCCGGAAGTTCGTGATACCGCTTCGTTTATGCCTATAATATTATACGGTGCGTTCGTTTGCAGTTCGATTCATGTACTGCAATCATTTTGTGTTTTCCATGAGATTTCTAGCGGGAAACGTGTAAACCGTTTTTTTTTTATGTTTTTTTTCGTCTGCGCCGTATAATTTGTTGTCCGCTTATGTCTATTTTTTCCCCCTTTTTTAACGGGCACATATCGTTTCCGGGTTCCTACAATTTATATTCCACCATAGCACATCGCACAAGCGTTTTTCAAAAACCTACAGCCGTCTATTTTTTTGTTTCTACGTATAATAATCGATTAATTACAACGATTAACACGCGCATATAATATACGGTTTTTATTTGATTTTTCAGAACACGTCTTAACATTATTATTATTAGTATTTTATACGGCACGTGGCTATGAAACATTAGATATTTTTTTTATAATACGTGTATTAAATTATTTGCTTCGCACTTGTAAAATAAAAATAAATACTATATTGTCATTATTAAGAGAACGCGATGCCGCCCGTTTTCTGTAAGGGGTTTGCGAGTTTTATAAAAGAAAAATGAATATTTATCAACTCGGAATTATTCCGATTCCCTTTGAAATACATATAATTTATAGTATTATAGTTCTGCTTCTGTGTCGTTATCATAAGTATTTTTTTTTTTTTTTATTTTTTTTTGGAAAATCATTATAACCAATAAATGTGTACGGGTAAACCGTTTCGCGCAGGACCCTTACCGTCTTTACGGAATACAACATCTAAATTAATAGGAATCTGTAAACTGAGGGGTTTTTATTTATATTGTGTTTTTTCAGTTATTTATTAAAAAACATTGAGTAGTGCTATTAAAAAAAAAAATAATAATAATAAGCGCACTACGACACAGACAAAGTTCTCCTCAAAACATTTCGAAATTTCGATTACTTTACAATAAATACGATCAGAAAATAGATAAGTATTGTCCCACGCAAAAGAGTTTTTACAATTGAATTGCAGGGTGGTGTCACGTACGTTCTCTTATTAATGCAATACGCGTATTTATTGTCTCGATCCAACTAACGGACAACCTAGCAAAATTACATAAAATAAGTAACTGCGTTTAAAGAGGAGAATATTTTCGAGGGCACAGTGTTGTTTTTTTTTCCAAACTATTTTTAAACTAAGAAACACTGCAACTATTAGGTACCTGCTATGCTACCGTTATAGGTGGATAGTTTGGACGGCAGGGTACGTAGATTTGGTTCATTCGTGTCTACACGCAACGATAAATCATTACGAATGAAATACGATTCTGAGCGAAGTTTGAAATTTCAAACTTTGAAGTTTGAAGTTTCAAATTCTCTTTTTCTCTACAATAATATATGTCCCTCTCGCACAAAACCGAATGGAAAAAAAAAAATAATATTGACAAGGATAATATTGCAGAACACCTTGCATTTAAAACAAAAGTTGAAATAATACTTTTTATCACTATTAATATACAAGTATTTAATATATCTGTAGTGGTTTGGCGCAAGTAGAAAATGTTAAAAAAAAAATATATATATATATACAATTTTAAAAAGACATCCTAGAATATTTGAGACGGGTGCAACCACTGTAATAGATTATTTAATATATACCTGTAAGCAACGATATACCATTGCTTGCAAAAAAATGATTCTGAGCGGAGTTAAGTTGATAGTAAATGATATATATGTCATTTTATAGTAAAATAATTTAATAAGTTTTACATATTTTCTATAATAATATTTGTACATATATTTATATATTTATGTGCATAAAACGTTTAAGTATTTATAAAAGAGATTCTGAATTATTATTTTTTCTTGACGGAATAAAATGTAAATATTTTTACCACGGTAAATTTAACAATGTGGTTTTTTTTTTTTTACTTTTCGTGACATTATTTAAATTATTCAACTTTTTATTATTATTATTATTATTGTTGTTGAACGAAATTAAATAGATACAAAATTCGCGTAATTACTATATTATCTTCACAAAAATATTTTCCGCCGAACTTTTATTATTAGACTAAACATTGACTTTCCATTATAAAATACTATATCAAATTGTATTCTGTTCAGTATATTAAAATATATACAGTGCAGGTACCCCCGCTTGGGTTTATTAAAGGTTGTTGTTTTTTCTAACCAAAAAACTATATATACCGTAAGACTCAAAGGTTAAATTTCAAAACGGGTTTTAATCGATAATAAAAGAAAAAAAACCGTTTTAACCATTAAATTCTGTTTATTTACATACTCGATAAATACGAACGTATATACGCGGAGCAAAACAATATTTACTCAATTCGAATACGATAATGACATACAGACAAACATGTTGTTAATAACCTAATACGGTTTCGTATATAGATTATAGAATATAGACGATCGTCTTTCAGTTATATTAATTTGTGCTGAATAGTTATTTGAGTACACATCGGTTTATTTATTATATTGTAAAAGTTACCGGTGCTCGCATTGAAAACGAAAACGATTGGATCGAATTTCAAACGCGCGGATTATAAATTTGTGTTCATCGTCCCGTAACATATTATATGGTTAATTTTTGACGATTTAAAACGATTATAAAAACTTTTCAAACATGAGAACATGTTCAACTTAAAATCCATAAACGTTAAATAAACAGATATGTTACAATAGAAAGTTAACTATAATATTATGATGTAATCTAAAATAAAACGTGTAATATGAGCGCGAAATTCAGTAGGAAAACAAAACAATTCTGTGCACGATGATAGTATCGTATCGTATAATATAATTTTGAAAACCGACACATTCCGGTTGGGAAGGTGTAAAACCTAATTGATGTATCAGGCAACAATAATAAATCATTGCGGATAAAAATCTATTCTGAGCCCCAGGACGACATTTATGTTTGTAACTATATTGCATAATACCTAATTGTTATATAATAACTGCTATATAGGTATTGTTATTCATTCATACTGATATACGAATGATTAATAAACTAGTAGGTACATGTACAAAATAATTTCCACGGCACAGTAATACTTGAAAAATTGTATGTTTAAGATTGTTAACTGGTGCGAACATCGGTTGGACTTTTCTTAAACTTAAACAAACTTAAGGTTATGGTATTCTTTAGAACACATAATAAAATTGATTTTCATTACTGCTTAATTCGTAACGAATGGTAGCGTCGAATAAAGCAGGTGAAACACTTAAGATTTAAATAATTAATTTCACCCATCCATATCTTTCGGTAATCACACTGAATTCATTACTTGTAAAGCGTTAAGTGGGTACTTTAGATATTATCCGTCACAATGCGTCGGACTTCAACCAAACCTCGTTAGTGCCGTAGATTTTAGAATACGGGCCAGTGATATGGTCCGATTATTCTCAGAAATACATACAGCGAATTGAAAAAGTTCAAACAGCTCCTTTCTTCTGTATGTTATATTTAAAATGTTCCTCGCTCTGCTTAGAATCTAAAATAAAATTACCAACGCTCCCCATGACTACACACCGGTCTCCGAAATCTTAAATTTAGTTAACCTAGATATGAGAAGACAAATACTAAGCCAAAGATTTATTAGTTATTTAATGCTAGATAAGATTGATGCTATCAGCTTAATAGGGTTCCGGAATAAATAAACATTCGAAATCAGCACTCGTAAAACTGATTGCATATGTAACGTTCCGATCGAAAAATCATTGCGTCTAATCAATTCAGACCCCATTTTTCTCAAGTTCTGATCTTAAAGGTTTCCGTCTGAAAATCGTGTACCTAAACGCAATATCTTAAACTCGGACCACAGGGAAATTTTGTTTTTTTTATTATTATTACCGTTATCCGGTTTGCTTTTCGCCATTTATACGCACAACACTGCAGATTATTTATTATTCATATTATTAACAATATTATCACTACTTTTATTAATCATTATATTTATATTTCTATAACAGCCATCAGGCATAGATAAATTAAATTGAAATCAAAAACAAACACGTTGACTGTTTTCCCGTGATTTTGTCGTTTTAGCGCAGCGAGCAGAACATGTTTTAGTTACTGACCGGACGCCAACCAGTCGGTTCTCAATTATCGAATTGGTTCTCGGGTAGCTTATAGGGGTATATGATTACATACGAATTGGTTTACAGGTGAACTTCAAGTAACACACGCGTTGGTTCTGATAAACTGTCATTTTAATAACAATAATTACAAACCGACGACAATTTCCTTCCCATATTACACAGACTTTTAGGACCGTTTAGAAAAGTTTCTAGAAACGCATCCTTAATACGGTCACAGTAATTGAAAAAAATAGTGGTATTTAGACCGAAAAGCTGGATAAAACTGTAAGGTTTGGGTTTAACGGATTTTAATTATTAAAGCGGATCTGGTTTAGTTAAAAAGTTTACTATGCTGCAGGTCACGATGGTACGGGAAGGCGCCAAATTTTTCCGTTGTAAATAATAGGCTCATCATTTAAACCTACATTTATGCACGAGATCGAATTCGAACAGTTTTTTATGTACCCGGAAATCAATTCCGCAATGTCGAACTGACCGGACCGTTTTGTTCATCAGGTATAATACTGATTGTGTATCAATATTTCCCTCGGCTATAAAACGTAGATGACTATAAGTACTACGACTATTATATACTGAAATACACACGCACACGCGACTCGACGGTTGAATTGCATTACGACCACGTCAAACAGACCAGTATAATGTACATACATATTATATATAATATATGATACTATAGCTCAATAATATAATAATATGGTATAATATTATGTACTTCAAATATTTGCGCGTACAAGATATTATACATATATATACGGTATTATACAATCCAAATACGTCATAATATTATTAAGTAATACAAGCACTGTCGCTATATTTCATTAGTCGAGGGATCCCGCCACTAATATTTGTTTTCTCTGTCTGTCAACAGAAGGTATATTATACCATAGTTCAACGATTGCGACTGTCTAATCGAGTTTAAGGCAAAAGGACCGATTATGCAATCCACAAATAACGGTATTTACTATTGATCCTGTGGATGTTAAGAGTTACCTGCATAATATTTTTAATTCTTAATAATATGTGGTCACTGGTTGAAATTACGAGGAAATTAAAATTCACATATCCCGATAAACAATGGAAATATTTAAAAAATCATTTTTCGGATACTTGTACTGGTCGGATCCATAGTAATAAACCTAAACGGTCTTGTTTATAAAATATATAATAGGCTCCTCTGCTCTGAACTTAACCGGAGAGTCGAAATCGTGGAAATAAGTAATGCCCATGTTACTGTATTACGCACGAGCGAACAGAGAAATCAAGTGTAAATGACGAGACCCTTTAAATGTAATAATTGTATATAATAGATTGTTTTATAATCATTTTTTTTTTATATACATAATTTTCTTATATAATTGTTTCCATAATTTTCTCTCATTTTTGATAATTTTGAAATTGCTTTTTTTTTTGTTTTATGAAATTAGCGATGGGTAAGCAAATTATCTATTTCCATTCCTCGTATATGGACGTCACCTTCAATAAATAATATAATATGATACCGAACAAAACAATCGCGTTATAGAGAAGTGCGATACCGATGTAATACGGTGAAACACGTCGGTTTTCGCGGTGACAACGGCAAAACTTATCGTTTTTCGTCGTAAATTCGGTTTTCCCCGCAGATTTCGTGTTAAACGTACACCCGTGCGGTGCTTCAGTTTGTGTTCAATTCACTGCGGTTAGATTATTGTAGTATCTATAAGAGGTCTTACGATTTGTTATACTCGTCATAGTATGATATTATATTTATGTGTGCTACAAACGGAGAAATGACATATATATATATATGTTCTTTCGGGAATTAAACAGGTAAGGCTATAGCGCCCTGTGGTTTCCTAGGAAACCCTGTTTGCCCCCCCCCACCAGGCTACACCGCTGGCTGTAATATTTTTAAGTATACCTACGTCCTAAATATTAAAAAAAACGATATCAAATCTAATGATGTCCCGCTGTATATTCCGCTAGTACACTCGAATACACCGTGCATTCGAAATGCCGTAAAACCGGTCCCACGCGACCCGTGTAATCGGCGAATATATTCGTCAATCTTACTGCTTTGCGAGTCGTGCGCGAGGCGTTTAATCGCGAAACGCGACGATTATTTTTACTCGCCGAGTCACTCGCGGTTTCCCGCCGGTGTCGGATACAACACGGGCGACTCGTGCTGATAAGAAATTTAATCTTGGATTTTCCCCCGAAATGGACAATTATTCATTGTTAATATCGTTATTTCGAATGGATATTTGGCGATTACGAGTGTCGTGTAGGAACAACATAATTGCAAACACCGTGCACTGTGCAAACATGGCAAGTACACTCGCCGAGCATACGCTCGCAAAGCACACGGGCCGTGTGGGACCGTCTTAAGACGTTAGATAAAAAAAAAAAAAACTACGATTGTGTCGTACCGGCATCCGCGGGAATATCTTCTTTGGGTTTTCCCAAATCTTCGAAAGCTTTGCGGTTTATTTGCGTACCGTTCTGCACGGTTTTCAACGAACCCTCGTCCCACTCCGTCACGTCTCTTCCCAGCAATTCGTCAGCCCGGAGCATGCCTATTCGCGACTTGCTTTCGTTTTTCGAACTCATGTCTTTTATGATGCCGCCTGAACACGAGACAAAAATTAAATAAATCGTTACTCGCATCGGCGTTTTTTCATTGAACGCGGCGGTTGACGGTTCTCACCTATCAAATTGACTTTACGCATCGATTCTTCGAATTCTTCGTTGTCCATCTCGATCGCAACAATAATAACGCCGATTCCCGTGTGAATGTACGATGGGTAATCGTAGGTGTAACCGGTACCTTTCGTAAAACAAGTACCAAACGGCAGCGCGGTCACGATTGATTTATTCACTCCGAGACGCGGGGCCAGTACGCAATGCGAGCTAATTTCGTTTTTCTGTTAAGCATAGTTGCCATAGCAAATCTATTGATAACGCTTGGAGACGCGGCACAAACATTGCGTCGTCACAATATACGCATATAGAAAAACGTATAAAAACGTTACGGTTTTCAGCAGATACAATAGGCAAACTACACGAAAATAATGATACCAAAATGCTTTACGGTACGAAAAATAAACCTCCGTTGTACATTGGTGGACAATCACACTTTAAAAAATAATAATTCACCGATGAACGATGAACGGAAAAACCGTACTGAACAAAATAATACGATAAAAGCATACCTACATCATACATCGTAGTATGATGTAGGTATGCTTTTATTGGGCATTTCCTATACGGAATTGGGAATTTCTAAGGATTACCATCCAGGTACTTATACTTTACACAGGTACCGACCAAAAAGACTGCATGATAATAAATTCAATAGTAATTACTAATTGAATAGTGCAATGACGAAAATAATACTATGTATATGCAGGAGAACTGTTGCAAAGTTTTTGAAATCCTCCGACGCAATTTCTTTCGAGTTTAAATTTGAACTTTGCTAAAAATTCGATTACCTCCTTAGTCCGACCTATTCTAGAGTACTGTTCATTGGGGCCCCTTGATTTACCTCTTTCCTTGTTTTTTCCATTTTATCCGTCTATTTATCTATTAGTCCCACATTTCCACATCGTCATATGCGTACTGTTAGCATCCGTAAATTATTTGGCGGACTTTTTTATTATTGTTATTATTTATTCTTTTAATATGTATTATAAATTTAATCTGTATATTATCGCTCATGTTTTTGGGCCTCAGCCTGTAATGTATAAAAATAAAATAATAAGCAGGAGTTAATTTCGTTCGATTGAAAAACGTAGGTACGTCTTCTATTAAAACGCTTCGTGAACGAAAAAAAAATTGGCAAAGTGACACCGAAAGTCCCGTCACCGATAGACGGCAAAAAAAATTATAATTATATATATCCTTTTCTCGAGTGGAACTTCCTAATGAGCCAAACACAGTAGTACAATTACGACAAATTAACGATGTCAACATGTTTAATATATTTATTATATGCCTACTATTTTAATGTAATATTTTTTAATAAAAATACAATATACGTTGCGAAGATACGATACATAGTGTTATTTAATTTATAACTGTACACAACGGTAAATTAATGCTAACGAAATACGGTTTTGACTTTTGAACGAAATTCGGCTAAACATGTTTTTAAATGCTGTGATTTTGATCAAAATTTAAACATAAAAAGTGCATAGAAAAACTGCTACATTATGATTGACAGATTCTCTCTCACTATAAGTAAAACTTTTGATGTACCTTACGTAATGTAAAATCATGAGTAATTTCTGCTCGACGAAAACAATAGTATCCACATAAAATCAAATAAAAAATAAAAAAATTCGAAAATGCCAAATGCTTATCAATAACTCAAAAATTTCTAGAATACATTACTTTGATTAGGAAAGGCTAGTATAAGTGGTCTCTGAAAATTTCAATTCTTGGCGATTATATTTAACCGAATTACAAAAATAATAAAATCGAAAATAATGAAACAATTATTTCCAAAAACGTTCTCTTTTTTTTTATTTTTTTTTTTTATTTTTGCAATTATTAAACAAGCTACAAATAAAATGGAATTCCAACATAACTAGACACAATTTTCTTTTAGATGGTACACTTAAAATTCAAAGCTATAATTTGGTGAAAAAGTTATTTGAAAAATAAAAAAAACACACTATAATAAAAAATTATCTTATTAATACAAGTTGAACAAATTATCAGTTTTTCGTTCGCAGTGGTTAACCGTTGCGTACAGATGTACATTAAATGTCTCCCGTGCCATCGTAACGTCTCACCTACAACAGTGGTCCACCCATTTTACGAAGTATGTCCATATCTTTTTTTTAAGCAGCTTTGACAACAAAAAGTCAAGATATAGATAAATCATATTTCAGCAATTATACTCGAAATATTGCGAACATTACATAATATAATACAATTGTAATGACGGTAGAATTGATATATTATTTATTATGTTTATACGCGTTGCAGTTTAAAAATCCAGTTAATAAACTGTTATAATAATACAGCACATGAACGCCAATGACGATTACATGTTATTATCTTCTACGTAAATATATTTTATATCTTTTATATTTTCTAGATAATAAATGAGGAGTGCCTAAGTTATCTGAGATAAATAATTATGCTGAACATGACCGTACCTACTCAAAAGTTAAAGAAAACATTTCCCGCTAACGAATGAACGAAAAATAAATTACTCTTTCCATATTTGTAGTAGTCAGCTAAATTTCAAAACCTATTTTGTCCTTGTCGGGATTTTGAATACCTCCCATAAAAAATTGTTGATTATTTATCTTTAGTAATCAAATAGTTGTCGTGTATACTTTATATTGATCTAGACAACTGTTCTGGCAATTATCTTATTGTCTTTGTGGTAAATACTATAACACGCGTACCTATGTCTTGCAATGCGTATCTTAAGACAACACTCAGGTTATTGTAATAATAGTTTATTGTTGTTTGGGAACATTTACGTAAATGCTTTTTGTTGTAATTCAGTTAAAAATATTCGTAGATACTAGAAATTTAAACAGAAAATTCACATTTGTTTTTTCTAGATCGATTTGTAAAAAAAGGTTAGCCATTTCTAGCTATTTATAGACATTTTAATTTTGCAAGTTTTGTACGTGATTATATAGTAGGTACTCTGTAGATAAAATTGTTAGACTAAAAAGAAATGCTTGACAATTTAACAGGAGGTTTCTTAAAAGTCGTACTTTGTAATTAAAACGAACAAATTTAGCTTAATGCTACGTGTTTTAGATTGCGAAGCGTGCGTGAAAAATAAATGCGTGGACGAGACGCACGTATGTGGATTTGTGAGTGCCGTGAAGACGGTGCTCGACGGGAGGTTCGGGTTTCCAGCCATTTGTCCTGTGGCCGTCGTCATGTCATCGCAGGATCTCGCATCGTCTCGTCCCGCGTATTTGGACGTCGGGTGGCTAGGTGAAATCGCCATCGAACGTTTTTACGGCATCAATAAAACGAGAGCGAGGACTGTTTCAGCCATTGGTTAGTTTACACTTTACGTAGCATCCAATAATGTTACAAACTAGACACAACGTCATTCGCGTGTACGATGTATACTTACCTTATAGACTTTTTCTCTCATTCGATGTGAAATTCTTTTCGTTTTCAGCATTTTTCCGGCTTAGTGTGAGCCGCCCAGCCTACGGCCAATAAAGAACCAGTTATAAGAGAAGAAGATAATACAAACCGTTTCACGTAAAAAGGTAAATATAATCACTTTTGTTAGCACGGGTAATTTGTTCAGCTCGTATTAACAAGATAATTTTGTGCGGACAAGCTATAAGGAATTATTAAAAAATTGGATTTTAACCGTTACACGGCCTAGAGCTAACCGCTCACAACGGTATATATATTCAATGATATATTATAGAAGTACATAGGTATTTATATAATTTTATAATAATAATGATTTATTATTCTTTTATGTATTTTCGTCAATTTTTCCCTAAAAACAGAACTACTCTATAAACAAACATCTGATCGTGCTGAATAGTGTTGCCGAATACGGGGAAATCTCCCTAATTAATTTGTCTTTTGGAAATAGGGAGTTTTACAAAAATTTAGGAAAATTAAAAAAAAAAAAACTGAGCCAGATTGAATTTGTTAGTTACCTTTTTATTAGATAGTTGTTAATAATATGTTACAATTTTGTTTTATTTAACTTATATGAAAGTTATATTATTAAATACTATACGATTCTATTATATTTATAGCAACTAATTGTTAAAATACCTATGTTTGAATTTGTTCTAAATCAGTATAAGACTTAACGATATTAATTTGATTTTGTTGGGTAGGTATCTTTTTATTGTTTAATTATTAATAATTGATTCGTTATCGATTCATTAAATGTTTAATGTTTTTTTTATGCAACCCGGAATTGGTTTTGAAGTAATTTCAAGTAACTTCAGTAACTTTCAGTAAATTAACTTAAAACAATTGTTAGGGATATTTCATCGTAACTGTTTAGGTAATTTTGGGATGTATATGAAATATTTATACCTAGGGAATAATAAATGTTCGAGTTGGCAACACTAGCGCGAGGAAGCTCCTGGCGACAGTAGTCACCAACCAGCTTCTGTACGCCGTTCCAATAAAGGAGGAGGAGGAGCTGAACACCAAGTCAGCAATGTGTTAGCTGCAAATCTCATACTAACGGTAAGACGTCTGAGGCACCACCGACACCATCCGTATAATTATGGTGTCAGGCGAATGGGAGGCCGGTGGCCACTACAGCAGCCACCTGTCACCACTGGTTGCTGCAAGCCAGTCATTGTTCGAAGGCAACAAACGTGAGGCTGAGGGGGTTTCGCGAGAAACAGTTACCTGGACGAGATGGTAAGGGTGACGGGGCTCACCGGCCCAATTATAGGTGGAGCCGGTACACGGTGTCTAGGTCGTCGACGACTCGTGAAAAGGACTGGTGACAAATCAATTATGCGCTAGTTAAAAGCGTTCTTGTAAGGGCCCGGCTGGCGCGGAATTGTCGTGCCACCGATGACCCGCGCGATATGTATTGAAAACTCAATAAACGATCCGGTTACAGGGGGAAGGACGACCCCCAGCGGGTATAGTGCCGTGATAATTATACATAAATAAAATAGTTACTAATAGAGAAATAGGAAGCTTATAGAAAGCTCAATAATTGTGGTAATAATTTAGATCGTATATATTTTTTCTATTTACGTGCTCTTTATAAAAAAAAAACCTCATGTTATTGTCAGTATTTAACCAATGTTCAAAATTTATTTATTGGAAATCCGCGCTCATTTTAGAATTACATTAAGAAATCTAAAACTATTAGTGACCTTCCTAATCGGAAGGTCACTACTAATAGGAAAAAGTCGAATTTTGATTCTGTTTCTAAATTAGAATGGCTTGTATTTACCTAATTGTATCATGTATCTTATCATATATAATTATTTTTTAGACTTTAAGTATTCTAATAAGTACTGTGCATATAAAACTATTAATATTTAAGCATTATAATATCGTTGTACCTTATCCCCTGTGGGTATTAATAAATATTATTATTATTATTATTATTATTATCTTGTTCATAGTTTATTAACTACGTGTTTAATAGTCCGATCAACTATTACTTCCCTTAAACGTATTTTCGTTGCTGACCATTATTCGTCCCCAAGTTGAAGCGTCTATGTGCATCTTCATACTAGAACAGTTTTCCATTGGTTATCAGGATTTCGTGATATATTTCTTAATTATTATTATCATTACAAATTTTCTTTATATACAACTTTTTTTTACTATTAAGTCTGTAAGTCACTTACTATAGGCAATAATTACGGTGACATAAAAAATCACGATAGTCGGATAATATGTGGTTCGATTTTATGATTTTATTATGTTAGACATAACTTTAGGTACGCATAAATAGAAGAGTGAAATAGTAATGTAATTATTATTTGTATTAAACGCTATTTATCAATATTTTAGAATGAAATTGAATACTGTAATAATATTATTATCGTATACCTAATCCGGAAAGTGTTGGCTTGCCAGACCTATACATGACAAAGTGTTTAAAATTTAAATTTTCAATTAAGATATTAAAAATCTTATAACTAAATGTAATAGTATTAATATCCTATTTTGTTTTGATAGCATTATAATATTAATATAGCCGACTGTATTGTAATAGTATAATATGATAATTCGCCTTTCCAATGCCCTTAATTAATTAATAATTATCATCACGGTAGGTTTAAAAGGTTAATGCAATGACCTTGAATGCAGACAATTTTTGTTATGATAACAATTTGAAATATTATATACACAAGTGTATAAATATATATATATATATAATGAAATTTAAACTAAAATGTTTTATATTATAGGTTAAAATAATTTTTAACACAACTTCAGACATTGAATGATATATATTTCATTTGAAAACAATTGTGTTTTGTTTACATTATATATATGCCATATTATAGAAAATAATTAATTATAAAGGCTTCAAATATTTTGTTTAGTAATATTTGTTTAATATTGCATTGATTTTCCCATATTTTTCCCGGTTTTTCATATTTGCTGGGAAAACTCTTAAAAAAAACCAAAAAACGACCTCTAGCTCTAAAGTACCACCCTAGTGAAATTTCCTTTTAGAAAAATTGCTATCATTATAAGTCAAGCAAAATTGTTGATAGAAAAGTCGTCCACAGTAAAAAAAGCCATAGTATTTTTAGCTAATACATTCATTTCTTACATTTTCCTCTTTTTCCAAAATTTTTCTCGACTTTTCACATTTGTCGAGAAAACTCCGGAGAAAATCAAAAGACTACCTCTTTAAAGTATTTCTCCGTAGCGATTTTCTTTCAGAAAAGGTGCTACACATAAAAATAGAAGCAAGATCATTCGTAGAAAAGGTGTTTACAGAACAAAAAAAAAGAAAAATCTTTGTAAAATCATAAGCTTTTTCGTTTCACTGAGAATCTAATGTACTAAAAAAAGTTTAAATTTATAATAATGATTACGTGATTTCGATAAAACCATGATAGAAAAAAAAAATTAGTTCACTCGTTATGACTCGTGACAATCAAACTGTAAAACTATACGGATGGACATTAGACGAAATTAATATTATAGGTTTAGGTAGCAAACTGTGTTACCTGATGAACTATGTTTTGGCCGTGGCTCATTTTGATAATAATAATATTTTTGTCGATCCTTTTCCAAATGCATTGATGTGAAAACAATATAAACTCTTCTGAAGTCTGCGTACCGTGAAACGAATATTATTTATATAAAGTATAATGACATGTTTGACAAAAACATCTCGAAGATATATCGTCGCTTTTATTTTGTAAAATAATATTCACCTGCAAATAATGTAATGTAATGTAATAATATAATGTACATACAACCATAATGTTTCTGTTTGTTCTCTGTTTTCATTTTTATGAGATCTGCGTACAGTAAACCTCGATATGAAGGAAAACGTTATTTACGATACTAAATTTATGCGACGAGTTTTCACATGCAATATTTAAATCGGTTTTAATTGTCAATAAACTATACCGCTGTATTAGATGCGTAGCTATAAGGTGGCATGGAAACTACTTCCTCAGGGTGCCAAAATTATAGTTATAATTGTTATTTGTATCATTTATAATAAAAAGCCACATTAATAGCTACTAATAAGTGGCCACTTAAAATAAATATAAGGAAAATAATTTAATATGAATATTGTATCCTGTGAAAAATAAGTATCTAAGAAGTAAGAACAGTGGATTCCAACCTGGAGGTAATTACCTCCGAGGGGTAAAATCCGATTTTTTGAGGTGTAAACACTATCTGACCTAACTAATTTTTTTTTATATTATGTACTTTATACCTATTATTATTAACTCTGCATCAGTCATGTGTACTACGATTGTAATATTTTTTTTAAAACAATTTTTTTTGTGAGGGGAGGGTTATTAGTTAATATCTAACCCGATTTATCGGTAAGAGTCTCAAAAAGGTTGGGAACCGCTGATCTAGAGTGATGTAAGATGAAAAACTTGCCCCAGAGCACTTAAATGTTTAGCTACGAGCTGTACCATATATATTATACATATAAATAATAATTTGTCAAATTTACAATGTTCACGTTGATATTCTTTTATCATCATGATTTCATCATTTTTTCGGAGGAGGATTTTAGGAACATTTTGTCCCCGTGGTTTTAAACATAATCTTTTTAGCATATTAACTTTTGATTTTCAAACGGCAACTACTTCTTTTCAACGAAGATTAGAAAAAAAAAATGTCAAAAAATGTTTAACACACCTAACACTAATATTAAATTTACAATTTGAATTATAACTTATGCCTAGGGATGGACTGGTTCTTGAAAAATATCGGTACCGGTTCTTACCCGGTTCCGAAAATTCTTCATTTGGTTCTCGATACCGATACAAGTTCTTCTTTTTTTAGTGTGGAAATAATGAAAAATAAAAATAAACGATGAGTTATTTACATACAATATTGGATAGATTATTTTTTATCCACTTTTTATCCAAATCTAAAGCAATTAAAATTAAAATAATAATTTTGAACACGTAAAAACCGAACTAATAACATTAAACACGTGTTACACATACATTCATAGTATAACAAATCGTTCTTCTGATTATCAGTTATCAGTGTAATCACAGTAATAATGCGGTATTTTATAAAAAAAAATACTTATACAAAAATATAAATATTCGAACAAATGAACTCAATCACAGAAAATTTAAAAGTCGTTAAGAAGAAATCAACAGTAATTAAAGTACTTGTTATATTATATACTTCGGTACGTTGCCCAAATAGAGGAAAAGTTTTTGAAAGATTTTTACTTTATGATTAGAAATTATTTCATTTTTACAACAAAATAATAAATTTGATGAACTTAAAAATAATTATTGTTGGCGCCTTTAAGCTTTTATGTGTGATATCACTGAAAAACTTAATGAGCTCAACCACGGTCTACAGGGTGAAAATAATATTATTTCGCAGATGACAAACAAAGTTTTTACTTCTAAAGCAAAACTAGAGATCTATTATAAGGAAATAAAGAACCAATTACCTACTTCTTAATTTCCCTATTCTTACAAAAGCTTTAAAAGATGATATTGTCATTTCACAAACAAACTATAAAATAATTTAAAATCATTTAACTACCTTATTCAATGTATTTAATAGAAGATTTCAGGATTTAAGAAGTAAAAAAAATTGCTTTTTATTGATAGAAAATTTTCGGCACTAGGAATAACAAGTATAACATAATTAGCTGCGTTGATTATATCCAATAATTCAAAAATATTTGATTAATTTACTAAGTTAAAAATTGATAGAAATTTGAAAGTTATTTCCAAAGAAAAGAGAATACCAAAAGAATGTATCGAATTTTGGAATTTAGTACCTGGAAAGTACAAAACAATACAAAAATGTACTCACTTGTTGTACTTGTACTCAACATGTTTACATCAACGTAACTATGTGAAACTTCATATTCAAAGACGAAATATGCAAAGAATGTGTACAGAAATCGGCTTACATCTTGACGACTTGTTAAAAGTTGCATGCAGCAACTATAAACCTGATATAAATAAAATAGTTAAAAAAAAAAATGTCTCAATGTTAACAATTACAATAATTTAAAATAAATATTTAATTTTTTTGTAATAAATCTTCAAATGTTACATATAATACACATACATACTTTTAATTATTTTTTGTTCGAATCCCTTTCTTTTTCATTTTGTCTTGCGACCCACGCAATATTTTAAATTATTTTTTGTAGCCCAAATAAAAAAAAAAAGTTGAATATGGCTGATCTATACAAATAGTATTACCTGCGACATTGCCCATTTGTATATGTCTGTATAGTTTAGTGTACACATTGTACATTTTGGTCCAATTTAGTGCATTCCGTTCGCAAACATTTTGACTTTCATCCCTTATTTTAACTAATTAAGAGATTGAATTTTTCAAAAATTGTACCTATGTGAATCAATTAGTGAGTCGGTTTCCTCTCCATTTATTCAACAAAATGTAGTGTTCAAATTTCTCACCTGTTTTTTTCTATTTATATTAATTCGTAGCCAATAGCAGGCGGAATTAATATTTACAAAGTATGTCCGGCGGAGTCGATAACCGGGGGAATTGATATATAAACGGCAGAATTGATAAATTCCCCCCCCCCCCCATTTCAGCCA